GAGGCAAACAGCATTTGGCTGTGAGTGACAACATTTGGTTTTCCGAAGACAAATGTTGTGGTCTAGTACAAATGTATCATTAGGAGATATAAACTAATATGCATCAGATCCAAATCGGTTAGCTGCCAATAAACAGAGTTACTTTTGATGTCACAAAATGAGACATATGACAAATCATTTCAGGTCCAACCAAGTAAAAATATCAGGCTATTTCATATCCGTTAAGAAATCTTAATTCATAGAACATTGCAACCTTTGGCAGTAGCTTTTGCAGCTCGTTGCGTCTCCTGCAAAGCACGCATCTCAGCCTTTGTTGTTTTTGCTTTTAGTGGCTTTGAATTCTTTTGCAGTGGCTCTTTAAGAACAAGATCTCCCCCACTTTCTGCATGGCAAGAATATAGATATTTTGGTTATTATATTTATGAGGAAGAACCTGTAGACACACCCATGCCATATATATATATATATATAGACTTGGGATCATATGAGACCAATGCTTTTTTGTGTGACCCGTAAGACCAATTCTCAACCCTTGGATTAGATCTATAATCTCAACATTCTTAATCACAAAATTTGCCACGAGAGTTCTCAATAATTACAAAATTGCCACCGTGCAACTTTAAACCATTAGATCATTAGTTTATAAAGTTGATCAATGAACATAAATTAGTCTCACGGGTCTCACGAAAAACTCTCGGTCCCACGTGAACCCAACCCTATATATATATATATATATAGAGAGAGAGAGAGAGAGACTTGGGATCACGTGAGACCAACCTGTTTCCACGAGACCCGTAAGACCAGATTTTTACACTTGAAACTTCACAGCAAAATACTGTGAAGGTAACCTTCACAGTGTTTTTGTTGAGAAGGTTCGACTTTTTTAAACCTTCACAGTGTTTTTGTTGTGAAGTTTCAAGTGTAAAAATGTGGTCTCATGGGTCTCACGAAAACAACCTGGTCTCACGTGAACCCAACCCTATATATATATATGTGTGTGTGTGTGTGTGCACATGTATGCATGTACATAAGATAAGGGCCTGTAGGTGAAGAGAGTAAATAACGATTGAAACAGGAAAACTGTAGCCCCATTAGTTACTATAATACTAGGACTTTTCTGCATACTGAATTTTCATTAGACCCAAAACATTACAGAAGGCATTTTAAATAATCCAATAGACAGATCTTATAATCAGGAGATATATTAAATACACCATC